TACACTTCAGGCATTAAAATATATTCAGTATGTTCCAGTAATATCAAAGGAACATTTTCACAACCACTATCCAACAAGCTCCCTTTGGCAATATAGTCAACAGGGACAAAGGACTCCTGCAATTCAATTAGTCAGCAGTCTGGTAGAGGAGCTTATTTCTAAAAGGAAGATGTGATTCTCTTCCTGGTCATGATTTAGAGTATCCCTGAAGAACTGCTGCCATGTTACCCAAGTGTACAACCTACCAATTAGGTCAGAATTGTTAGCATCCACAAAGAAACAGAATTTGAAACGGTGAATCCCACGGTGGGTATGGAAAGCAGAAAAATGCACTTACGCTATAGGAGCAACATCACTAGTTGATTAACATACAGAACCTTATTTGTGTCATTTAACCTTAAGGTTGCCCATTAACTTAATCTTTATCTGAAGAAGTCTTGTAACACAAGCTTAGCCTGAAAAGAGGATGCAGGAACAATATATTAGTTTGCATTATGCATTTTCAATTTCCATCAGTGATAAACATAACTTACAGAAGGAAGAAGGGAAGGGGAGGGAATTATGGGAGAGAAGAGTGAGGAGGGGAAGTGGGAGAATAATGGGTAGAAGTGTGTATGTGCTAAGTCTCTTCAGTTGTATCCTACTCCTTGCAAACCCTATGGACTATAGCCCACTAGGCTCCTCTCTCCATGGGATTCTCCAGGCAAGAATAAAGAAAAAGAGAGAAAAGAAATATACAGTGAGGAGAGGAAAGGCTAACATCTGTAGATCTAGTGCTTAAGTGAAAGTGAAGTCGCTCAGTCGTGTCCAACTCTTTGTGGCCCCATGGGTTGTAGCCCACGGAATTTTCCAGGCAAGATTACTGGAGTGGGTTACCATTGCCTTCTCCAGGGGATCTTCCTGACCCATGCAGGGATCAAACCCAGGTCTCCCTCACTGCAGGCAGAGGCTTTACCTCTGAGCCACCTGCTTAAGATGCCATTATATACCTTATTTCTTTAATCCTCCCAACAACCATATGAATTAGTAAAAACTTGTTAGTTCTACCATTTGAGATAAATGGATCTGAGGCTAAAAGCTAGTTGAGATTCAAACCACGTCTTGCAAATCCAAAATTCTTTCCAAGATGACATTCAACTTCTTTGTGTCCACGAGTCTATTATCTTGAAATTGATTTTTTTTTTTTTTTAAAAAGAGGAAGATGAAAGGTCACATTTCCAACTCAGGATTACGGCCTTATTCACCAGATGTGTCCACTCAGCTACCACTCTATCTACTCCCATGAGACTCAGTTCTGAGAAAGATTGGTTGGCTTTGGCTTGCATTATATCCCTTTCTTTTTCACTGCTTCCAGGGCCAAATGACCCCAACCTGTCTGTCTTGAGGACATCAAGCAGACTATCTCAAGCTGCTTCGCACGCCTACCCCAGCGCCATGAATGAATGAACTGACAGCTCCTGAGGCGTTTGTGTTTCTCTGAGAGGGCTCCCAGTCCAGACTGTCTGCCTGTGAGTTTGTCACCGGGACCTGGAACATATTGTTAATCCTCCTACGGTTCTGACCTTCAAGCACTCCTGCAGCCGAATTCTCGCCCTACACCAGCCCCCTCAAATAAAACCCTTCTTTCTCCTCATGGGGACTCAACCCCATTCAGTGCAGTAGGCACTGCAGACCAGTTTATCCTAAATTGAACCACAGTCTCATAAAAACTGGGGAAAATCCTGCGTGTGTCCCGGAGAACCCAAGTGTAGTGATAAAGCCGGAGGACTGTGTGTGACCAAGAAAACTGCAGAAAGACCCGCAGTCTCCTTGAGTCCCTTCAGCGACTGGAACGTCCTTTTACAAAAGGAGGAGAAGGGGGTAGTCAAAGTTAAGAGTCTTCAAGCTGTTTCAATCTCCTCCTTAATTAGCTCAGTGTGAGAGAGAGTGGAAACCCCTAGCATTTGTACAGAGCTTCACGGTTCATATGGAGAAGGAAATGGCAACCCACTCCAGCATTCTTGCCTGGAGAATCCCACGGAGAGAGGAACCTGGTGGGCTACAGTCCATGGGGTTGCCAAGAGTCGGACACGACTGAGTGACTTTCACACTTCACTCACTGTTTACAAGAGGGTTTGCAGTCTATTATTTCATTAGTGTCTCCATTCGACTCATGAAATCCTGTGTGTCACACTCACTCAAGGAACTCCAGTGTACTTAGCCCAGTCCAGACTGGACCCAGGAGTTCAGCCTCCCAGGCCAAGGTTCTTCCTCTGTAGAGGAACCTTCAGCGATGCAGGGACCTGCGTAAAGAAACTGGAAATGTGAAATATGTAGAATAATAGCATAATAATAACACTTTAAAGAGATTTTCCAATAAACTCACAGATTTTTTCCCACTAAAATTATGATACTCTGTGTCCTTGCCTAGATTGAAGTAATAAAAGCAGCATTTGTTTTATTGACTGTTATGAGCTGAGTTTTTGCTTCCCCCCAAAATTCATATGTTGAAATCCTAATCCCCAAATCCCCTCCAGGTATTTGGAGGGAAGGTTCCCTACTTAAGGAGATTTGTCTCTGGCATCTTGATCTTGGACTTCCCAGACCTCAGAACTATGTATGAGAAATAGCTGCCTGTTGTTTAAGCCACCCAGTCCTTGGTATTTTGTTACAGCAGCCTAAGCAGATGAAGACGTTGACTATGACTGCGATACAATGTCACAGGCTATTTATCAGTGTTTACAATGTTTGCAAGTCAAAAGTAAAGCCTATGCTGTAGGCACAAGTAAATCCATATTTTTCTCAATCCTATTTCATAAATGTAACATTTAATTATTTAAAAATATGTATTCACAATGTTAAGTATTCCTGTAAAGCAGTGTTTCTCAACTTCGGCACTTGGAGTCAGATAGTCGTTGGTTGTTAGGGGCTGCTGTGTGTATTGTGAAATGCCTGGTATCCTGCCTGGCCTCTACTCACTAGATGCCTGTAGTAACTCTACCCCCAGTTATGATTGCCAAATATCTCCTGGGGCTAAAATTGCTCCCTATTGAGAACTTTGGCTTTAGAGTCAAATGTGTAGGTATCTCCTGAAATAATTACATTATCTGCACATCTTTTTATTTCCTTACATCTAGTTTAATTTAAAGATAGCAAGAATAGTGTTTTGGTTCAGTAACAAAGGCAGTGAAAATTTATGTGTATTTACACATAAATTTATGTGTATTTACAAGAAGGTTGATAGGAATGGGTGAATCAGAAGGATGACAAGAAGGATGAAGTCAATATAAGAAGGGGTAGACCAATTTGAAGAGTTTCATGCAAATAGAAATGTGAATGCCATGGATTGCCCAGTCCATACCCTACCTCTTCCAACTCCCAATAATCACTGTAGAATTTTAAATTTATTTACTTCTGTTTCATTCCTGTAGATACAACTTTTCATTTTGGGGGAAAACATGGGTTCTAAACCTATTTACCTCTGAGAAGAAGTATGACAGCTAAGTGTTGATGTGTGGCCACTGGGGTAATCCCTGCTTGAGTTTGTAATCTCATTACAGTGGACTATACTGACAGCAAAATAAAAGAAATAAAACCATATGCAAAAGTCTAACAGTTCTTTACAATCTGATAAACTCTAACATCAATCAGAAAAAAAAAAAACAACAACATTGTATTCCAAAGGAATACTTTTGAGAGTCTTTTATAAAAATAGCTACTTGACCTGATTTCATAAGCAGCAAGAACAGGGCTCTAAGTGGCCACTTAAGTTTCTGTCTCTATGCTCCATTTCTTTAGGAGGCAGAAGAGAGAATGGCCAAGATATCAGTGTGGTTTGCTCCAACGTACCTTCACGTTCCACTCAGCCTCTGGTGATTGGTTCTCACTGTCAAGACAGGTTACAAAGGGCTGTATTCACTAGCTTTTCATCCAGGAATGAATGAGGCTAAAACTACAGTGGAATAGTTTTAATTAATAGTTTTAATGCTGCACATTAATGTGGTGACTGCCACAGCTTTGACTCTATCTTGGGAGCACAATTTGACCCATCATCCCAGTTTGCCCAGGACCTTCCTGGTTTTACACTGAAAATCCCACATCCCGAGAAGTTCCTCAGTCCTGGACAAACCCAAACAGTGGGACCCAGTCTGACTTATGAGTTTTTGACAGAATATTTATTGAAGACAATTTTTAGAAAGCATCTTCCAAGAGCTGGAAAGATAAGGTCAAGAACAGTATCTAAATCTCCCTTTAAAGTAAAAAAATTATGTTTTATAACAATCAAGTAGCACTTGGCATTTGAAATATAATTTAACTAGCCTATATGACTTCCAGGTATTTGCTGCTGCGTTTGTGAAGATGAGCATTTCCAAGGGCAAGAGAACATTCTGTCTCTGAGTGCTTCATTTAAGCAAGGACACGCTGCCAACTTGAAAAGAAATAAAGGCCACACTTTGTCTATGGGGGGATCCTGCAGTTATTCCCCTGCAAATTTAATTCAAACAGGTATAGAGATCTGAAACATGGAGATATCCACAAATTAGAGGATACTTGGATTTTAAAAAGGAAAGGTAAGAAATCCAGGCCACTGAGAACTATCTCGAAACAGCAATAGCGTTTCCTTTTCATGGTAATCACCCTAGTCCTGTGAACATGTTTTGAAAATCTATATGGTGAGTGAAATTTCTTGAGATCATCTTTATATGAAATATGTATATTACCAATTTTAAAAGCTAAAAATTATCTTCAAGCAAACTGATTTAAAAAGTAGCATGTGTGTATAAAATGTACAAATCAATGCTATTCTAATACTTTGCTTTTAGGATTATTAATTATATAATATGACATTCAACTAGTGTATTAATGATTCCTTTAGAAAATTCAGTTTTAATCACTCAAAATTATACCTTTTTAGAATATCACTATCTTAAAAGGATTTATTTAGAGAAACTGCTTTTAGAAAATGTTATATTATCTTTTCAAACAAATTTAAGAATCAGCTTGACTTATAAAACTGATGATAACCTTCAGAATATTTATTATATGTTCATTGTAATATATAGATTATACTTGATCCTATCCATTACTTGAGAAAGATTTCTGTGATAAATCCTTTTACTTGATCCATTATTAGGCTCCCAAACCAACTTATAAACAAAAGTCCCCAATGGAACTGTTATTAAACAGGAACTTGATTCTATAATGGAGTAGAGACACTTGTCACCACAGATCATGATAAAACTTAAGAAAATTAGTCTGGAGTCTCTCTTTTTATCACCAGGTTACCAATAATTTGTTTTGTCACTATAGTTATGATTTTATCCATATTGTCAAAGTTATGACCAAGCTGAATAGAAATATTTAAGCCCCATAAGTTTTACAGAATTCTGAATCATGAAGCTCAAAGACTTGTTTCTCAAATTCTAAAGGTATGTGCCAACAGTTCCAAATATAGATATAAATCCTAGTAGTCACCAGAATTAACTTTATCATGTTTGGCACTTCCCTTGTAAGATCCCATTTCAAATGTAAGGGTCTTAAAATAAGTCTTGAATTTAAGGTTGTATCACAGTTCCTTTTTAGTAATCTAACTGGGGAACTCTTATATGTAGTCCACATCTTATTTTGATTTCTACAGCTTAATCCTGCAAGACTTTTATGTTTGTATTAATATATTCCATGAAGTATTTATTAACAATATGACTAGTGTCCACCTCAAGACATATGTAATGATCACATTTTGATTATCTATTAGGCCCCAGTTACACAGAACATTATAATCAGAAATGTATCAGAGCTAACCAGTGCCATAACACTGGTTTCAATTAATTGCATGTACATTACATAAAAATCTGGCTTACAGCCAACAGATGGATGAGAAAGCAATAAAAGCAAGAGCAGCTGAAGATGAACACAAATACACACGGAAAATAAGACATCCTTTAAAAAAATAAATATATACCAGGATTGAAACAGGGTATCATGGAAAGTGATCTGAAGTCACTCAAGTCCTGAGATGGTTTGTGGTTTAGGCATTTTTTTTTTTAAATTGGCCACCAACTCTTCACTGTGGTCTCCTTTCCTAGTTCACTGCTAGACTTTGAGAATGATGCAACTAAAGCGGAAGGCTTCAGTGCTCTGAGGAGACAAAAGAACCAAGACCAACTCAGGCTAACAAGTGACTGCCTCAGACAGACTGAAAAATTCAGGCCAGCTGTTTTGCATATGTTTGACACTGACTGGCTTTGAGATTACAAATATGACTTTCTGCCCCCCACAAAATGTAAGTAAAAACTGGCTTTTTTTAAAAAACAGAGCATTAGAAAGCTTTCATACTATGCATGGATTTACTACAAAAGCTGAGGCAAGCACACACACCGTAAGGGGGAAATTGACTCCAATTGATAGCTGGCTGAAAAAAACAAAATAGGCAAACCAAATAATCTGAAAATAGGGTTTGTCATGGAAACAGCATATTAATGGGACCATATTCCCAGTAGCTTTATGGTTTTTCAGGCAAGTCTTATTTTGCCATCACTGTTACAAGAAACAAAAGAATACACTGGCTTTTTTATATGCTACACAATTTAAAAGTTGTTTTCTAAAAACAAAGCCTGGTGATGACTTAAAAATGTCTTTTAAAATTGCTTAAAGCTAGCATTATAAAACCTGTCTGCATTAAATTTATAGTTACATCATTTTAAGGACATCCATAATAAGAATGCTTTATATTTATTATTTGGATATAGACTAATAATCTTAAATTTTTTTCCAAAAATTATCTGTTGAATTATCTAGTGAGAAGATATTTTTAATTTAGCCTAAGCATTGTTATTTTTTGTGTGCTCATACAATAAAAACTTCTTCAATATCACCTAATACTAGATTAATGTAACAAAAGAAAAAAACATAAAGTTGCACCTTGGTGATTAAAATTGAATGTTCTTATTTTCAGTTAGATTTAATTTTTTCATCTGCCTTAAAATGATGATGATGACTTATGTGACAACTGCCTTACAACCATGAAACTAACTCTATTGTATTAAAGGTCTTCATTTCAGCCCCTTGTCATTTTATCACAAAATGTTTTCATGGGAAAATTTAATATAGGTATTTTTAGTGTATAAAGGGATAAGAGTCTTATTTTTCAAAGGTATTTGAGGCTTTCCATCTGGCATTCTCCTTTTCTCATAACCTTATTTCCATACTGTAAAATATATAAGTAAACTTTGTATCTTTAATTTATAAAAATTAGCGTGTATATTTTATACATAGACATAGATATATGCTTATATACACTCTACATATTATACATTTATATAAATTCTAAGAGTAAACCAACCAGATAATTCCTCTAGGGCAAGTTCTTTGAACAATATAAAAATGGGTCTTCAGAAACAAACAGCAAAACAGCCTTATCCACCTAACTGCTGCTTAAAATGCTTATAAACACACAGTCAGTTAACCATTTATTGATTGCCTGTTTATGGTTTTGGAATATCCAAATATAAGATAATACCTCATAAAAATTGTGACAAAGATGATGGTTGATGATTTAAAAATCAACCTCCATATTACAGAAAGTTATGTAAATTTATTCTTTACAGAAAAAAAGCTATAGTAAAATTAGAGTTTTCTTTTTAATAATCTTCTCTAGGTAAGGAAATAATTTGCAAACTTCTGTCATATTGTTACCATCATGGAAATAGATCTTTTCTAGGGACCTCACATCATCAATCACTACAATGGAAGTCAGTTAATTTTTTGGAAAGACTGGTCTGAAGGTTTAAAGATAGACTTTTTCATTGAATTCCTGAATTTATATACTGTGGGTTTGGCTACAGACACTATAAAATGTAAAGACAGCTAGTGCATAGTGCAGACAGTTCCAGCTCTGTTATTTTCAGGCGCAAAAACCATAGAATTTTGTACAAAACTTTGATTTTTTTTATTTGTGAAATTAAAAATATGGTATTATATATATATATATATATAAACTTCTATTCCTCTATAAATATAGATGATTTTGTGATAGTGAACAGAATAAATGCATACCAAATTCAACGAGCATTGTCATTTTAGGGTATGACAGACATAGATAGATTTATGTCCTAAGTACGGGCATTTTGATAAAACTCTTAAAAGTTTAAAACAATACAATCAGGAAGATTGCTTTTCTCCTCTTTTTCACAGAGAATTAAAGTGAATATTTTTCAATGGCTTTGAAAGATTACATTGGGCACAGTTCTATAAATCCAAAAAGGAACACAGGATTTAGTGCAGTAGACCTGCAGCACACATTCTCCCTTTAGCATGCATGCCCATATTTTGTTTATTTCGGTGGCTAATCCCATCAATTATTCCACCTCCTTTACTTCCTGGAATCTTCCCAGGTTATTATTAGTGATGTGGATTGTTCCTCCCTCAGAATGTGTTGTTGAATAGTGATCATAATAATATGTTACAATTGTACAAGTGTACAATGTACATTTTAAAGTTTCTGACATATGTCTAATTATTATTTGATTGAAAATAAGAAAGTACCACTTCCTTTTGAGGACATCCATTACACTGAAATCTCCTTCAAGTTTTCATATTCAGTTTACCGTCCTGCTCTCCTGTTAAGGAAAGCAAAGATCATCAGCTCCTTAACAAAGCTTTCCAGGTGACCTAATGTTTCCATTTTTCATAAAGGTAAATCTAAACACGGGTGCTCCCAATCTTAAGAGGCAGTTTGCCAGGCATCCGTATACAATTAGAATGAGCGTTTTATAACCCTATCTTCAGTCTCTCCCAACCCACACAAAGCTCCATGCCTCTTCCCCAAATCTCAGTAACCACATCTTTCCATGACGCTGGCCAAACCCATACCAGGTTTTAGACGCTAGAGAATGAAATGAGCTCATCCACCAAAAATGAGACTTAAAAAAAGTTTGGCATTGGTTACCCCACTCACCCTCTAACCAACTTGGTTGGAAGGAGGGAGTGTCTGGGCATTGGAGGCCTGAGCCAAGGAGCCCGGGGCTGCCCCTGCCCACATCCGTGGGCCTCCTAGAAGCCGGGGAAGTTCTGGACAGTGAAAATTTCAGCTTCGGATAGTCTAAGGGCCCGTCTTGGCAATCTGGCTCCGGATAAGGGCAGACTTGGGATCGGCCGGGGCCCACCTTCCGATGTGGAAGCTTTGTGATTTCGGTACCTGAAAGAGTCCCGACCCCAGCAAGGAAGGGGAGGGAGGGGGCAGAAAGCGGAGCGGGGAAGAGACCCAGGAAGCGCGGCCCAGGCGCTCCCCACCCGCTGCAGGGAGGGGCGCGCCAGCACTCGCAGAAGCTCCCAGCGGTGCGCTGTGGTTTTCTCTCTGTGCTGCTCTGAAAAGGGCTAGAAGGAAAAATGGTCAAACCGCCCGAAATAATTAAAATTAAACAAACAAACAAGGAGAGTAAAAGAAAAACGCGTGAACGGTCATTTAAATACAAATATACTTACAAAAATCTTACACAGGCTATTTACAAGTCATAAAAGCGTACAGTCCTGGTACCAGAGCAAGAAAGGTCTGTTCATCCCCCCCGCCTCTGGCAGTTGGGCCCTCGGGTCCCTGGGCCCTCGGGTCCCTGCGCCCCCGGGAACAAAAGCTTTTGCAGGAGCCTTGTTAAAAGCAGTGAATGGCTAGGGAGAGTAGCCAGACTTGGCCACGATTCCATAGGGCCAAGGGGTGGCCGGGACCAGGCCGAGGGCTGGAGACAGGCTGAGTCCCGGGTCTCAGACGGTGGTCTCCCCCTGTTTGCTGTTGGTAAGCCGCGTGTAGAACTTCCTCCAGGAGTTGAGGGTCTTGCCAGACCAGATCCAGAAGCCTGACGTGATGCCCACGATGAGGGTCATAAGGTACTTGATCATGAAGACGGTGAAGTCGGGGCTCATGGGCGGGTGCGGCGGGGCGCCGCCCGCCTGGAGGTGGGGGCAGGGGATGGCGTAGCTCTTGCAGCTCTGGGCCACCCAGCTGCGCTCCCACTGGTCCCGGAAGGCCTGCTCGTAGAAGTAGCAGGCGATGACGATGGTGGCCGGCACGGTGTAGAGCACGCTGAAGACGCCGATGCGCACCATCAGCTTCTCCAGCTTTTCCGTCTTGGTGCCGTCGTGCTTCATGATAGTGCGGATGCGGAAGAGGGACACGAAGCCGGCCAGCAGGAAGGACGTGCCGATGAACAGGTACACGAAGAGCGGCGCCAGCACGAAGCCGCGCAGGGCGTCCACGTTGTTGAGCCCCACGAAACACACCCCGCTCAGCACGTCGCCGTCCACCTGGCCCAGCGCCAGGATGGTGATGGTCTTGATGGCCGGCACGGCCCAGGCGGCCAGGTGAAAATACTGCGAGTTCGCCTCGATGGCCTCGTGGCCCCACTTCATGCCGGCCGCCAGGAACCAGGTGAGCGACAGGATCACCCACCAGATGGAGCTGGCCATGCTGAAGAAGTAGAGCATCATGAAGAGGATGGTGCAGCCCTCCTTCTTGGTGCCCTGCGCCACGGTGCGCGCCCCGTCCTCCGTGAACTTGTCGTTACACACCACGCGGTCCTCCAGCAGGAAGCCGGCGATGTAGGCCACGGCCACCGCCGTGTAGCAGCCCGACAGGAAGATGATGGGCCGCTCAGGGTAGCTGAAGCGCCGCATGTCCACCAGGTAGGTGAGCACGGTGAAGAGCGTGGAGGCGCAGCACAGCACCGACCAGATGCCGATCCAGGTGCGCGAGAAGCGCAGCTCCTCCGGCCCGAAGTACATGAGCCCGTACACCTTGGTCGGCTCGCAGGGGGCGCCGCAGTCCTTCTCTCCCAGGAAGTGGTAGTTGAGGTAGGAGGGCACCTTGAGGGCGCGCGGGCACGAGAACTTGCCTCGCTCCGACGCGCCGGCGCCCCCCGCGAAGCCGCCGCCCCGGTGCCCTCCGCCGCCGTGCTGGGGGTTGCTAGTCCAGAACTCGGGCAGCAGCGAGGGCGTCGGGGTGCCCTTGTCCGACGTGTTCTGGCCCACGCACAGCTCGCCGGCGCCGTGCACCGGGAACTTCTCGCACTTGAGCGTGTCGGGCCACTGGAAGCCGAACTTGTTCATGAGCGCCTCGCAGCCCTGGCGCGCGCGCTCGCAGAGCGAGCGGCAGGGCGGCAGCGCCTGCTCCAGCACCGTGCACACGGGCGCGTACATGGAGCACAGGAAAAACTTGAGCTCGGCGGAGCACTGCACCTTCACCAGCGGGTAGAACTGGTGCACCTCGAGGCCCGCGTCCTCCTGGTTCGTGTGGCCCAGCAGGTTGGGCATGATGGTCTGATTGTACGCGATGTCGGTGCACAGCGGGATGGAAATGGGCTGGCAGTAACCGTGGTCCGGTATAGAGATGCCCCGCTCGCCGTTGTACTGCTGCCCGCTCTGCTGTTGCTGAGGCGGCGGGGGCTGCTGCCCCGGCCCGGGCCCCTGGCCGGCCGCCTGGGCCCGGACCCCCAGCAGCAGCGGAGCCTCCAGCAGCCAAAGCAGTAGTAGTAACCGGCTTGCCCAGCGCCGGGAGTCAGCCCGGGGGCGGCGGCGGCTGCCCGCGTCCCCGCTCCCCTCCGCCGCGGGTACAGTGCGGAGCGCCCCGGCACAAACTTCCCAGCTCGTGCCGCCGCCCCCGGCGGCTCGGGACTTCTTAGGCGCCTCCTCCTCAGCCATACTTTCTCGGCTCCTTTCTTGGCGCCGCTCGGCTGAGGCTGGCTGTGGCGCGGCTGGAGGCTGCTCCCCCTGCGGCCGGGGCGATCTCCTCCCCGCCGGTGCCCTCCGTCGAGCCCGGGCCGTGCTCGGCCCGCTCCCCCGGCTCCCGCTCCGCGTCCCGCAGCCGCCGCCGCCGCGGAAACTTGCGATTCATGAAGCGCGGGGCTGCGGGGAGAGCCCGGGTGGCTCGGGCGCGCCGAGGGTCGCGTCCCGCCTTCCTGGCCCTCGGCTAGCTGGCTCCTGGCAAGCGGCGCCGCGCTAGTGGCGGCTGCCGGGCAGAGCGCGCAACTCTCGGCAACCCAGCAGCCTCGGCTCCCCCCTGAGCCTCCGCCTCCTCCTCCGCCGCCGCCGCCTGACCATTTGTGTCAATCCCTCAACTCGCCCGCTCTCCTCTCCCTCGCTCGCCCTCCGACCGGTTTCCAGGCGCCCCGCAGTCTGTCTTTCACCAGGAGGGAGGAGCCTTGAAACCGACGCGGAAATGGAGGCTCAGGGACCGTCGCCCAATCGCTGCACTGGCTTCCCGGCGCAAAGGGCGCCCGCCGCCTGCTTCCCAGAGCGAAAGTCGGCGGCGGGCGGGAGAAGGAGGAGGCGGGAGGGGGAGCGGTGGCCGAGGCACTGCTCGGGCACAAAGAGTGGGTTTGCTATGAAGCGGGACAGGCTTGGTTGCTTTTGCTTTTGCGGAAGAAAGGGCGAGGACAAGTAGGAGAATGGTCCCATATGCTGCTGGAGATAATGAATAGGAGTCGGCAGACCGCGCGATTTAGCTTTGCTTTTCTTTTATCCATTTTCGTGTTTAAAAATCCTGCTCTGAACGCTGGTTACAAACAGCAGACCGAGCGCTTCGATGAGAACAGATTCCTTTGACTTAAGGAACGAACGGCTTCCTTCGAGTTTGTCTCTGTCGAGGTTTTATTTAAAATATTACTCTCAAATCCTAGAGCTCTCAGGCTGGGCTTGGCGGGATTCGGGCGCGCCATTTCCCCCAAGGAGAAGTTCGCCGGATCGCCGTCAGATGAAGAAAAACCACCACGACCAAACACAAACTTCGATAGCATTTAAAAAGTAAAGCCAGATCTACAGTCCGCTGTTATTATCTTTTCTGTAGTTTAAAAAAAAACCAAAAACTCCTTTTTTTTTCTCCTCTTTATCAATCCAGAAACAGAAGCAAGGGGAAACTACCCATTAAATATTTCGAGAGAAAAACTTGAGCGCCCGACTAGTCTCTGAGGGAGGAGAGAGTCCTGGATGCCTGAGACTCCAGAGGGGCTTCAGGGCAGAGCTGGGCTTGGGGGCAGCCTGGACCCTGGGGAGCTTCAGCGAGGCTTCCAGAGGCCGGTACGCCCGCGGCTCTGGGGAGGCGTGCAAGGGTCAGACCTGGGCCAGTTAGGTTGCGCTGCAAAGTGGACTTCCACTCAGATGCAGAACAGCGGGATGCCAGTTCAAAAAACAAAACAATTCAGCCCACTTACATCCTTGTTGTTGTTTTCCTGTAAGCTATTTTCAAATAATGGTCTAACCAGTGACTCAGTTTTATCAATAAAATGCCACCGTATTATTAATTCTACCTAGGATTTGTGGGCCTATGATTAGACTGTCTCTTGGGATCCTTTTCTACAATTATTTTCTGTCTTTTGTTTATCCATTCATTTGTTTAATAAATACTTACCAAGCTCCTATTGTCCAAGAAGCACTGTTAGGTAGTAGAATACAGAGATAAGGAAGACCTGGCCTAGCCTTACAGGCAGCAGAATGCAGCAGGGCACAGAGGTGAGGATCAGTTCTCTTAATGCACATCCCTAAGCTGAAGGAGGGCTTCTTAATGCACATCCCTAAGCTGAAGGAGGGCATCTTAATGCACATCCCTAAGCTGAAGGAGGGCATCTTAATGCACATCCCTAAGCTGAAGGAGGGCTTCCTGGTGACTCAGATGGTAAAGAATCTGCCTGCAATGCAGGAGACCTGGGTTCCATCCCTGGATGGGGAAGATCCCCTGGAGGAGGGCATGGCAACCCACTCCAATATTCTTGCTGGGAGAAATCCGTGAACAGAGGGGCCTGGGGGTGGGAGTGGGGGTGGTGGGCTCACAGTCCATGACGTCGCAAAGAGTCAGACACGAGTGAGCAAATGAACACACACAAGCTCAAGGAACACAGGAGAGCAGCCAGCCAGTGGAAAAGGTGGGGGGGGAATCTGATGGTGAGGTGGATGGAAGATGCGAAAGACAGGAGCTCCAAAGTACTTAAATTGCCAAAGGGGGAGACTGGGTGGGTGTGGCTGAGATATTAATGGCAGGAGAGAATTTTAGCCCATACTCTAGGCAAAGCCATGGTTTTTCCTGTGTTCATGTATGGATGTGAGAGTTGGGACTATAAAGAAAGCTGAGTGCTGAAGAATTGATGCTTTTGAACTGTGGTGATGGAGAAGACTCTTGAGAGTCCCTTGGACAGCAAGGGGACCCAACAAGTCCATCCTAAAGGAAATCAGTCCTGAATATTCATTGGACTGATGCTGAGGCTGAAACTCCAATGCTTTGGTCACCTGATGCAAAGAACTGACTCATTTGAAAAGACTCTGATGCTGGGAAAGATTGAAGGCAGGAGGAGAAGGCGTGACAGGATGAGATGCTTGGATGGCATCACTGACTCAATGGACATGAGTCTGAGTAAACTCCAGGAGTAGGTGATGGACAGGGAGGCCTGGTGTGCTGCAATCCGTGGGGTCACCAAGAGTCAGACATGACTGAGACACTGAACTGAACTGAGCTGAAAACATTTGGGCTAAATTATACAGACAGTAGGGAGCTGTGGAGGGTGACTTTTCCCCACATGAGTGGGGAGTGGCTTCAGGGGTGGCTGAACAATATTGTTATAATTCATATCTGTTTGATACATTAAATTCAACTAAAATATAGCTTTTTCTTTTCTTTTTTAAGCAGCAGTGCTCCTCAAAGTGTGATCTCCTAACTAGCAGCAGCCCTTGGGAACTTGTTAAAAATTCAAATTCTCTTGCCCCACCCAGGCCTTCCTGAGTCTGACATCCAGGTGAGTCTGATGCTAGAGAATAACTGTTGTGTCCTTTTCTATACTGAACACTTTATTAAGCATTTGATGTCAACTCCATTTTAAAATTGTCATAGTAGTTTATACTAAATGGTAATTTATATTTGACCTGATCATTTGCTGTCTAATCAATTTGGTCACCAGATCTGCACAATTGAATTGATCATCTAATTCCTGAGAATGAATCAGACCACCAACCTGCCAAGAGTCAAGATGACTGAACATAAAGCCCTCATTCATAAATCATTTGTTAATAAATCATGAAGCAGGAAACTCAACTGGAAGTAAAATTATTCATTCTCATATAATGCATAGGATGGATCTTAAAAGATAATTCCATCTGGATAACATTCCCACTGAAAAAAAGTTCAATTCATCAATATTCACAAGTACTCTTAAGAGCCCCAGAGTTTTTCAGAGGTTTGTAATGATTCAACTGGTGGCTTCAGGATGACTGTGGAAGAGGGAACCTGGGGCACAATGTCATTGAGAAGCTTAAACATTAGCCTAGACAGTACTTCCCTGGTCGTCCAGTGGTAAGGAATCTGCCTTGCAACTCTGGTTTGATCCCTGATCGGGGATTAGATCCCACATGAGGCAGAGCAGCTAAGCCCCCTTGCCATAAACTCAAGTCCATTCGCCTCACAGGATGATCCTGTAATAAAAAAATAAATGAATATTTAAAGAAACAAAAAACCTTTAGTCTAGATGTAAAGGGTGGTTCAGTGGTAAAGAACCAGCCTGCCAATGCAGGAGACACAGAGACGCAGGTTCAATCCCTGGGTCGGGAAGATCCCATGGAGTAAGAAATGGCAACTCACTCCAGCATTCTTGCCTGGGAAATCCCATGGACAGAGGAGGGGCAGGCTACAGTCCAGGGGGTCACAAAGAGTCAGATATGACTTAGCAACTAAACAACGAAAGGACACTACTTAAGGTGAGTGTCACTTGTACTGCATATTGACAGGGCCCTGTGAATTTCATCATCACGTATGTTGGTGTCTCTAAAGATTGTGCTGTTGTGTCTTTGCCTGTTAAAATATTTTATGTATTTGTCTCAGATACATATTTTTTTATTTTTCAAATATTCATGGGTATGGTAAATTCTTAAAGTTCATATTTGTCTTAAACCATTTCTGGATTTCTAGTATTTTTAAAGGAAAATGCAACAGGTATCATATGTGAATGAGAATGTGTGTTGGCAGTAATTCATGAAAAATTATACTGAACAGGAGGTTGGGAAGCACAGGCGCTCTCTGAGCTCCTTTGAGCACTCAGAGTTCATAGCCGTTCATTTTATCCCCCAGCATCCCATTCCACAAGTCTCCCAGGGGCCCTTTTTCTTTAGCTTCCTGCCCTGATGCTCTATCTTCTGCTGATAGCATCCCATGCTTAGAAACTTCATCAAGCCATGTTTCTTCTGCCACTCCTCTCGTGTAAAGATGTCTCTGTCTTATGTTCTACTCTCTTAAGGTCATTCTTGGTGACCGAGCTTGGGAAAAATGAATTTATTCTACTGTATTGCTTACCAAGAAGCACCACATGCATTAAACATCCACCGTCACTCCAAGTGCTTCCTCTTCTCCCCAAGGGGGTGGGGCACGGGGATTTTGGCAGAATACAGTTCTGTTCCCCAGAGTACTGCTTCGAAAGTTGTTCTGTTGACATTCTTTTACTTTTTTTTTTAGTTGGAGGAAACTTACTTTGCGATGTTTGTTGGTTTCCGCCGCACAGCAGTGTGAATCAGCTCTAAGTATACATATATCCCCTCTCTCGCCAGCCTCCCTCCCCTCCGCCCATCCTGTCCCTAGAGGGTCAGGTCATCACAGAGCGCCAGACTGGGCTCCATGTGCTACAAGCAACTTCCCACCAGTTACCTGTGTTACACATGGTAGTGTACATATGTTGATCCTACCTTCTCCATTCATCCTAGCCTCTCCTTTTGAAATTCTTGAGCCTGTTTTATCTTCCACTGGACAGGGAAGTTTACTGGAGAGGAGGCTCAGAAGAGCAGTAAGAGTTAAAAAGAAAAAAAGTCATTTTTTCCAGATCATGGAACTGGAAGGAACTGAAAATATTGTCTAGGAACTAGTTAATTTTCTCTAGTTTATAGTTAAGAATACCAGAAATGTTAAAGGAAGAGCTACAGGGTAAATGGCCTTGTTTGGCTTAAATTTCATTAGACACTTATTTTAACACTTTCTATTCTTTTAGGGCTTTCCAGATGGCACTAGTGGTAAATAACCTGCCTGCCACTGCAGGAGACAGAGGAGACGTGAGCTTGACCCCTGGATACGAAAGATCTCTTGGAGGAGGGCATGGTAACACACTCCAGT